ATCGATTTCTAATTTTTTCGTGTGGCTCCTGCACGTCACTTATTCGACAGAATGCCTGACTGTTTGCATGACTGGGAAGAAACACTAGCATCCTTCAGCCCATTGCTTTCTCTGCTACAAACAGCGCTTCTTTCCGAGACTGTGAATGTTTGATAACAAGGATATCTGCCTTAGAATAGTGGTCACTCACACCAGAATATTAATAGAGTCCGGATAGTCAGTGTGAAAATCCCGTGTTAGGGATATTGTTGGAATGTCCCCATACCTGGACGCACCTATGCTGGGCCTCTCGATCCTAGAGTGCATATGTCCAGCTGGTACCCGCCACCTGATCAATGTGCGTCCCCTCTTCAACGGACTGCTTGAGTGATTTTCTTGTGAGTACCATCTCCTAATACATGACCCCCGTCTGCAGTCGGCAAGGAAAGAAGCATGCTCTGCCCATCAGATTTTATTTTTGCGGTTTTTCAGCTCTTTCAATAATAATTTTTATTAATACTTTCAATACCAGAAAATTCAAAACCGTTCGGGCTATCCGTATGGATATCCCATACTATGCTTTCGTATGGCAAGTACAGCGATGCCGGACCCTTAAATCCTGGGCTAGATACCTTCATTCCTAATATTTTCAGTAATGAATTGTTGTTGTTTTGATCATAATTCTACTTTGGTCGTTGGTCAGTCGTAGTCCCGTCACAAGGCACACCTTCGCGCCATCGACGCTGCAAATTTCTTACCATAGGTATAATCAGAATCACCCTAAATCAGTTTGCCGGTGATTCTCGCCGGTTTAACTTATTACGGTTTAACTTATCTGTGCAAATTTTAAATTCTTTCGAAATTACATTCGTTCTAACGAATAGATAATGAATTTTAACAGAATTGAAATGCTTGTTCCGTGACGCTGCAAACATCAGGAGATTTCTGACGTTGCTCCTGAAAAAGTGTGATTTTGCACGATACAGTTTTAAGGATGAAAACAGTAGCGCATATGATTCGGCACTCAAGCGCACGTGAATCATCAGTGGCACATTCCGAAGAACACATCCCGACATTCGAGCGTAAAGCCAGCGATGGTGGAATCGAACGAAAAACCCGAAACGGTAGTATCGTGACGCTGGATTTCGACTGTGAAGCACCAACGGAAGCCAGTCGCCGCAAAGAGCGCCTTCTGAATGCTCTGAAGAAAGAGGTGTGGTGTTTGATTAAAGTGAGATTTCTACGAAATTTAATTCTGGCATATTTCAGGACTTCATGAAAACTCAGGTGGAGTTGGAAACTGAAAACAGGAGCAAAATTTATGAGGAATTTCGCCTCTAAGGCGGGAAGTTTCATGCTCAGCCTGGGGCTTGATTACGAAAGAAAGTTAGCAATCTTGAAGCTGCGCCTGAAATCTCACCTGAACAAGAAATCTATCTGAACAAGACAGCACAGTGATTTTCACAACTCGAACTCGAATCTAAAAATAGGCGCATATT